GATCAGGAAGGGCTAAATTAATATTATGTCATGGAAGCCTTGGGACAAGGAAAGGAAAGGAAAAAAGCCAATTTGGAACAGAGGGTCCCCTTTAAAGTCTCTTGGTTCAAAACAGAATTTGGAGAAACTTTTTTTTTTTTTCCGAAGAAGTTTGAAATGAGCCTTTTAGGTAACTAGAGGGTAGTGTGTTTCATGATCATGTGTGATTTAACCAACTGTCGCTTTGAATAACTGGCTGGGGGTTGAAGTGGTAATAAGATAAATACTATATAAGTGCTTTGCAGAACCTGTCTTCTTACTATGACTTTTTTTATGACTGTTTTGAAGTGTTCTGCATATGATCTGTTGTGTGCTTATTTTCGTGAAGTAAAAACTGCCTGGGAACTCTGCCCAAGCTTTTTCTACTTGCTTGTTACAATGAGGCCATCAATGGCAAAGAAAGCGATGCCAGATTAGTTATAATATTTCTGTGGGCAGATTTCTTGTTATATGCATCTAGAATAAAGGCACATAGATGTTAAATTCAGTTAGTTGTTTTTATGGTAACATTTTTGGAGCTCATGTTAAGGAAATACTCAAAAAATGTGAAATATATAAAATAAAAAGGAATGAATGTGCCTTCTTAGTTGGGCAGCTTTTACTCCTTGAAAATTTTACTAGTCTTGGATTAAAGAAAAAAAAAGAGGTAGGGGGGTCCTCTAGGACATTATTTCAAGGAGCAGGATTTTTTTTTTTTTTTTAACAGTTACCTTTCATCTTTCTCCAGCACCTCTCACTTTAAGTGTACGATTTTCTGTGGCTTCACCAACTTCATAATGTGGGTAAGGCATTTAAGAGGAAAATAAAAATAAATAACATCCAACCATGAAGCTGCACTGTGGAACTTGTGGGCTCATTTTAGGCGTCCTGTTTGTGTTGCTGGATTCCCCCAGTTCCCAGATGTGCCGTGACTCATGCCCTGAACAATGGGAACAGCATCTCTTACTCCTCCTCTTGGTCCCACTTGGCAAAACTGTTACTCAGAGGATATGTACTGCAGAGGGCGAAGAGATTAACACCGAGGGAATGAATCATCTGAGCATTTGTCCTAATTCTTGTGTGGCGAGCAAGAAGTTAAGGAAGACTGAGGGTCCACACTGTGCTGTGTGCTGTTGCGTGGTAAAAAGGAGCATTGGAATTATGTGAAATTCATAGTGCGGAGGTTGCTCGTTTCTCACCCTGTCCCAGACAATACGGGACATAGATGGAAGGCAGCTTTGACAGCTTGATTTATACTCGAGGAAAAAATAGCTAGCTGGTTTGTATCAACAGCAAAATAGGCAGTGGTCGTCCTGCTTGTGATTTGTTGATACAACTTGAATGTAAAATGTACCAGTAGCGCATCAGTGTTTAAAGAAAAAAAAAAAAAAAAAGAAGGGAGGAAATAATGTTCCACGAGTGAAATACAGGAAGAATCCTCCCTAAATCCAAAACGCCAGAAGCCAGACAAACTTCTGTGGATATGGTTCATCTTAGGGAAGTTTCTTGAGCTGCTGGGGTGTTTCTTGGTACACCAGCCTGCAAAAGATTGGTGTATTTGGCTTGGGCTTTTGGTTTTTTTGTTGTCCCTAAGTCATGCTATGCAAATGCCCCATTTTTTATTATCTTTAGGTGTTTAAATATTTTCATTTCAGCTATTAAATAGTAAATGTGAATTCCAGTCTACATAAAGATATTAAAAATACTTGAATCGTTTGCAAATGTTAACTGTTATGTTTCCTGTCACTTTTATAGCAAGTCATGCTGGTAAGCCAGAAGTAGTAACTAGCTAAGATCTGGACGTTTGAAACGTTTGAGGTGCTAAGCCAGCTTTTGAATGCTGTTTAAATGTCTAGGTGACTTTCGATAAACTCAAAGAATTTGAGTTGAAAAAGTCAAAAAAGCTTATTTCTGCTCACTGTCTTCAATAGAAAAAAGATGTTTAACATATGAGTGGCAGCTGACACTTTCAGGTTTTAATATTGTTTTGCCTTAAATGGAAAAATCTTTGAGACTGTGTGTATTTGTGGAAAATATGTATATGCACACCTTAGGCATGTGAGAGAGCTCTACGTAAACTTAATGTGTAATCCATAAATGCTCTTCCTGAACTGAGGGAACTTCAAGTTGTGGTCAAGTGCAATGTTGGAATGAATCTAAATAAATCTAAGTTTTAAAACTAATTAATATTTCTATCAGTTTCCTATAGCTTAAAAGAAAAAAAAAAAAAAGTGGCTGCTTAGTGAACGTTTGGCTACTATAGTTCTAAATAAAAAAGAAATGTTTGGCATCAGTACTTCCTAACACGTGCAGTCTCCTTTTCTTCTGCATTTGAATAAATTACGTGTTATTGACCAACACTTTAGTGTTGGCAGCAGTTGCCCCTTGATGCTAAAATCATCGTAAATACCCCAGGAGCATCCCAGCTGCCCAAAAGCCCCCAGTTTTCTGTGAATCAGATGTGAGATGCAGAGCAAGGTTGCCCAAGAGGTCTCTGGAGCAGGACCTGGATCCGCTGTCCTGCGTTGCTGTGTTACAGCCTTTATCATGGAATCGCCTTTGAGGTCAAGATGGGGAGGCTCCTGCTTTTTACTTAAGCTTGTGTCCTTTCATGTTTTGAGCTGTTCTTAACGCTGAACGTTCTGGAGTTCATGCAGGTTTTGTTTTGACTGGAAGGAAATATTTTGACTGAAGTGCTGGATATCTTTCAATCCGGTGCTAGCAGCGCATCTTCAGGCATCTTGGGCGCCGTTCACACCTGCTCCAGCAATCCCACTTGGCTCCCCCCTGCTCCAAGTGTTTCACAAATACTGCTTAATATTTCCTGAAGTGAATTGCTTGGCTTACTTGCAAGTTATTAAGAGCTTTGTAGGAAAAGCCTGTTCTCCCTAAATCACTGAAGAAGTGACCATATATTTTTACATTGATCTGATTTTTTCCTTTAAGTGTGCAAAATATTTAAGTGACTGGTGTGGAGGACAGGAAATAAGGAGGCATGAGCCATAAGTCAGGTGAGGCTGCCTGTGTATCCCAGCCGTTGACACACGTACAGCTGTTTCCTCTTCCGAGCGTGGGAGGCTGTACAGACAAGGCAAGGACTTTTCAAAGCAATTCACTGGAAAAAAGAACAAGCTGCCTCAGAGACAGCCTATTCACAGGCATGGCACACATCTAAAGGCATTGTCTAGGACAAAACACAATAGATAGGATTTTTATTATTATTATTTTTTAAACTTCAGTGATCTCTTCCTCTTTGGCTCTCCCATCTCTTAGATAGGACTAATGCTGGACAGGAAGACCTTTCTTCTTATTCATGTAGTCTGTGATATCTCTTCTGATCCAGCAGAGTGCCAAAAAATACAGGAAATTACTTTCACCTTATGAAAATTCATGGTTGTAAGGAAGCTCTTAGAGCAATTGTTCTTTGGAAACTTCTCCCCTGCCCAGAAAAAGTCTGTATATTTTGGTCTACCAGCAATCCACTGTCCATCTGTTCTGATATGTGGTAACTCTTTGTAAATATGCAAGTTTGGGCTTCTTCCGGAAGAACCATCACTGGTTTTACGTGTTGTGAGATAACAAGTTACGTCTCCTGTGTGTCTGTGCTTTGTGCTGAAGGTGTGGACTTGGGCCCTACGCTGGCTCATCTCATCTCCAGTCCCATTCTTTAAAAAAGTGCCAAGGCAAAAGTTCATTTTGAAGTTGCACTGGAAGGAAGTAACGTAGCTCTGCTGTCTCAAGACTGTGGTGTAGAGGAGACCGTCTGACCTAAGGATTTTTATTGCTTTTTGAATCTGTGAGGTGCTGTTGCAAGAATATTCTCATTCTGGAGTAGGAGGGTCCATCCTGTCAATTTGGTCACTACTTGGCCCTGGGCTGTGACAAGCCCATTACCTAGAAATATTAGAAAGCACAAGGGCTTCTTTCTTTATCATTTCTGAGGTGGCTATAACTGCAAGGCCAATGTCCTAAACAGTGACAAACATGAACTTAACAGATCAACTTCTTCCAAAGCCATGAAATGGAAGTGTTCAAAGCAGAATGGAGCTTTGCCAAGGACAGTTCCTTTCCAAAAGGAAAGCTGAAGTTGTCCTCTACATAAAAACAGTTTTATTACTTTTCAGAGTATGTGCAGGCTTTTTTGTATCCTCTAATGTAAAACAGCACTCGAACTGAGTGCAGCAGAAAAGCAACCACGTTGAAAAACTACTAGGCATTTTCACCCAGGAGTGTGTTGTCTTTATAAATAATAGTTCCATTCTTTGGAAAGCAACTGCTAAGGGATCTTCTAGAACATCAGCAAATCCATTGATCCTAAAAGGTAAACTGTTCAGAAGGAAAAGTGCTTCAGAATGTTTGATGAGGAGCTCAGTTTTGTTGTTTTGAGCTTTTGGGGCTTTGTTTTGTTTGGCCAAGTCTTGCTTAAATTAACACTACAGTGACTTAAATCTTTTACTCTTCTACAGATAGGCCAAGCAGTCTAGGATGTGCTTTTCTTCATTGTTGGGCATGTAAAAACAGAATGTATTGGCTTCTGACAAATACCTGTCATTTTAATTAGTTCACAAAAAATAGTTAAGAATAAACTGCTTTTGTCATATAAGAGAAAAAAATATTTAAGCTAAAGCAAAGCACTGCCATAAACAATACTTTCTTTTCACTGTAAAGTTTGACTAGGTGACTTTAAATGTTTTTTCGGTACTTTACTCAACTTTGATATTTCAGGAAGTAGGAGAATTGTTTTCAGAAGAGATACTGCCTTATATTCACTTATGTTGGATATTGTAGCTGATCCACTTCATTCCAACAGCTAGGGTAAACTCAGCTCTGTAATACTTCTGTTATTACAGTTCCTTAAGCATCTCAGGACGCTATTGAAATTTTGATTTTTGACATTGCCATGTTGGAAGATGAAAATACTATAATTCAATTTGAATTGCTACCACAGAAGGTTTAGTTCTCATCTTTTACCTTTTCCACAGGGTGAATCGGTGAAATACTTCTTGGATAACCTGGATCGGATTGGTCAGCTGGTAAGACAAAACTTATTTCTGGAATAGAAGAGCCCAAGGATGTAAGACATGAATCACAGCCCACCGGGACTATGTCTCTGTAAGGAGGCTGGAGGAGAAAGGGCAGGAAATAATCTTCCTAAATAGCGTTGCTATGTTTCTGAACAACAAATTGCTCTGTAGTGGTGAGCCAGGGCACCAGCTGAAGTAGTATGTGGTGCTCTACTTGCTGCACATTGTGAAGTGAGCGTGGAAGACGTGTTTCAACTAAAGTTTGCACAAAGTGCTTTATAAAAATGATGTCCTTTACCTCTACAGAAAAACCTGTAAGAAAAAATCCTGAAAAATTCATTTTCAAAAACGTCATTCAGTGACGATTTGGAGATCTGTTTTTAACAAACACTGCATATATGGTGCTAACACAGTTAAGAAAATTGTTGTGGTAAAATAAACTTCCGTATGAAAATTGGAGGCTTGAAGGATAAAATGTGGATGTGTCCTGTATCTTTTTTTCCTATGTCTCAATCTTCTGGTAATTTTTTACAAGCGTATTGAGATGATTGGTTAACAGTCCATTATTTTGAAACTGAGTGTTCATTGTTCACCTGGTATATTTCAAATCCATTGTGCAGTGAATTACTTAAGAGGCTTTTTGATTTTTTTTTTTTTTTTAAAATCACTTGGATACCGTGGGTTTTTTAAACAATCGATACACATTTGACATTCTTCTTTCTTTTGCAGAATTATTTCCCCAGCAAACAAGATATTTTGCTGGCTAGAAAAGCCACCAAAGGAATAGTAGAGCATGATTTCATCATTAAAAAAATACCCTTCAAGATGGTGGATGTAGGTGGACAGAGATCTCAGCGTCAGAAGTGGTTCCAATGCTTTGATGGAATAACTTCCATTTTGTTCATGGTCTCCTCCAGTGAATATGATCAGGTTCTTATGGAAGACAGGCGCACAAACAGACTCGTGGAGTCCATGAATATTTTTGAGACAATAGTCAATAACAAGCTTTTCTTTAATGTTTCTATTATCCTATTCCTCAACAAGATGGATCTCCTTGTAGAGAAGGTAAAGACTGTCAGCATTAAGAAGTATTTCTCGGACTTTAAGGGTGACCCTCACAGGCTAGAAGATGTTCAGCGTTACCTGGTGCAGTGCTTTGACAGGAAGAGGAGAAACCGTAGCAAGCCGCCCTTCCATCCCTTCAGCACTGCCATAGACACTGAGAACATCCGCTTCGTGTTCCACGCCGTGAAGGACACCATCCTTCAAGAGAACCTGAAGGATATTATGTTGCAGTGAAGGAGAGCAGCCCATATTCTGTTAAAATTTGCCGGAGGGTTAGATCAAAGTTTTTATTCTTTCTTTATGGCCCTTGCATGTGGTGTAGAACCCATGCTATTTACTTGGCTCAGGAATGCTGTAAACTAGCCAGTCCAAACAGAGGAGCTATAGGCCGAAGGAGTCAAATGTTGATGTTAGCTACTGAATCATTTGGACTAGAAACACTACTGAAACTGGCCGTTGTAGGTGTTCTTTACCTAGTTTGGAATACTGAATAACATAACCACCTTCTGCCTTCTTAGAATTTTTTTTTCTCCGAGAAACCATGTAAGGAAGACACTTTGTTTTAAATGAATATGTTTATTTTCAAAGACACTAGTAATACAAACTGCCTTTTTTGTAGTTCAGAGGTGCTGAATTAATCAAACTAATCTAAAACATAACAAGATTGGTAGCTGTATTGGTGAATGTTAACAAAGTTGCATTCTTAACAACCTTGGGTATGTAACTAGGTCTTGTGTGCATATTCAGCTCTGCCAAGGATCTGGAGTCCACTTTTCAAGGTGGATGCACAGCTCTTGTCTGAAGGTTTTGCATGAATCCCGTGAAGCAAAGGCCTGAGACAGTCTTTATAAAGGAAACCAATACTGGAGGAAATTGGACGGGAAATCTAAGACATGGCTAAGTGGAGAAAGGTCTATTTTGCACTATGTGTCAAGGGTATTGCGCCATGGGGAAACAGATTTCCCTGGTAAAGCAGCCTGTGCCAGAGCATCTGACCATGGATGTGGATAGCAGGTGCTGCAGTGAGATGCACTCCATGCCAGTTCAGCCCTGCTCTCACACCTGGAGCATTTGACAGCATTCGTGAGGGCTTAATATCTCACGTGACAGGGCTTTATCTGCCTTCAGAAGCATGAACGCTGATTAAACTCCTGAGCAGAGGTTTTGGTAGCATGGCAGCTGCTTGCCTAGCTCCCAAAAAGCCGACCTTGCAGGAAGACTGAACACTCTAGAGATCCCAGTTTTACAACTGCACTGATATATTTGGACAGCAGGACCTTGCTGTAAAATTAGCCCTTAATCTGTGTCTTAATGGGATCTTCAGTCTGTATTAATGCACATGTAATTATGAGTACAGTTAAGTTCAGAGTTGCCTGTTTCAGGCAATGGTTTGTGCATAAAGTTGCAAGAGGCTACGATTAATGTTATATGAACTGTTCATTTCCTAGCTTTCTCCAACTCGTGTAACTATGAGGTGCCTTTCCATGTACAGATATGTCAGATCTTTTCTATTGCAGTGGGGTACATGGACAAACTTAAGATCTGCCTTTTGTCTCAACATTGTAGTGGTGTCTTTTGACTAATTTCTAACCATAGTTTACTGTGCAATTTGTGTTATAGTCTTATCTAAGAATAAAACCTGAAGGGCTGTTCATACCCATACGAAGTCAGTAGGTTCCCTGGAGTTCTTATCCCCTTTGAGACTGTAATGGCATGTCAAAACAAGCAACATTTTACTTCAGCTGGTAATCCGGTGGGAAATGTAGTCTAAAAAAATCCTGTTCCGTTGTCTTTTCATGTTACTTTGGATAAAATCTGAAATCTTTTCTTTTTTTTTTCCCTCTGAAGTTTGCAGATGTTCAGATTGGAGTATGGTTTCCAAATGTAGCAGTCTGGTTTTCTTTTTCTGCAATTTCAGAGTGAAAAACACATGGCTATTTTATAATGTTATGCAAAGCACATAGTACTGAGGTAATAAGCAAGTTAAAAGTTGCAGACAGGAAAATCAAAGCTTCCATTACTTAGCAAACTTAAATGGGAATTAACTTCCTCATAAGAAGTGTATATGTTTTTGTTTTGTTTTGTTTTTTTACCCAGACCAAGTCTGTCTTTTTAATATTTATTCATTTTTAACCTTGAAGGGAAAATGTCATGAGAATTGCCAATCTTGAGATGGGGCGAAATCTTAAAATTATTACATTTGAAAAAGTAAATGTATCAACACTGAGGCAAATAACAGCTTGCTCGTTGTAGAGAGTTCAGTGCTCTAAGCTAGCCCATCTGCTTCAGCGGAGACTCCTTTCAATACTTTCAAATATTCTTGGAGTGCTAGTAGGGACCTCCAGTTCATGTAGACATTTGATTTTCTAATTTGTTGTGAGTTTTATTGCTTCACTATATTTTCTGGATGGGCTAATGTGTGTTCATTTTCTCAGTGGAGTTAAACATTCCCTTTCAACTGTATCTTTCTAAAGAATTACCTCAGTTTTATGTCTGCATCTACTGTAGTTTTACCTGGGAGGCATAGCGTGGAATTTCCTGTTTTGTTTTTCCCTTCATGGTCAGCTATGATTTTGTATCCTTAATCACCTTGCGGATTTAAAACTAAGAACAGAGCTAATAATGCAATGTATATTTATCTAAGTAACTTAATCTGTTGCACCTGGAAGAGAAACAGCATGAGATGTCTCTTATGGAGCTGTCAAGCTTGCTAGTAAACTTTTTTTTATATGATATGGCAATTTTGCACAATGTATCAGAGTTTTAGGGAAGCAGTTTGATGACCTCAGGCCCACTATTGCCCTTCTTTCTGTTAATGAAGTGGGCCTCAGCACACAGCTCTAGACTGCGGGTGGAAATCGGTAGTTTTGGCTGTATAGAATCTGCTTTTTGCAGGCTCTGTTTTCTGCCCGCCTTTGGATGGGCGTTAGTGACTCATGCCAAGAATGCAAGATGAAGAAAATCTCTTTGCACAGGTCAAGGGCTTCACAAGTTTGCAACAGGTATGACCCAGGGCTGTTTGAGGGAGAAGAGTTTCTTATAAGTGGCAGGTAGATTGCTGCTGCTGCTAAATACAGCATCTGCTTCTTGCTGCAGCTGAGATTTTGGGTGGTTTTGTTTTCCCAAGGTAAGTGGTAGTGCAAGAAAGCCAGAAATTCATATTATGGAACTCAGTAAATTAGTAACACAGAATTCAAGTGGCTTAGGTTGTACAACCGTGTCAGGACAGGCTTGCTGCATTGCTCAGTGCTTTCACAAGAAACAACTGTGACTTTATTTTAAGTGACATCCTGAAGAACTTTGCAGGTAAACACAGCTGGAGAGAACATCTCTTTTTGTAGGCTTTATAGGGTTATTGTTCATTTGGCTAGTCAGGAAATGGGTCACAGGCAGGATGATCATCAGATGAAGCCCTTGAGCAACTGCTTTAAAAAAAGCTTTTTTCTGTCCCTGCTCTGGTACCCGCAGGTCATAGGCGGGGGTGTTTCCAATGTGTCCTCTCTTGCAAGGACAAAGGGAGGAAGTGCTTGCAGCATGTGCATGCAGGAGAGATTTGTGCAATCTTGCAGCTTGGGAAAAAAACTGACTGTTGGGAGTCTTTTATTAAACACTACTTTGTTTTTGGTGTCCCAAAAACAAGACTTTAAACTCAATATAGAGTTTCAGTCAGTACTGTTCCTTCAAACTAATGCTATCATTTCCTGAACAGGCGAATTTCTAGATGGCATTACCTGCTTATTTTCAGAAATAATTTGTATAAATGACATCTTTAATAGGCAGTTGTCACTTTAAAGCGATTATGTAGTTTTAATGTTGAAGATACTGAAATTATGAAACTGAAACCATTGGTCGCTCAGCTTTACACTACAATTCATGAAGAGGTGTTTAATTTGACATTAAGTATTGGTCTTATTTCATCCAGTACAGCAATGTAGATTATTTGACTTGCTAATTTTGATAAATATAGTTAGGTTTTAAAAGTGCTGCAGTAAAACCTAGAATTAGGCGTGATACAAGCATGAAGGAGCTCCCAAAAATGTATTTTTGTTTTTTGCAGGCTTTCAGAGCTAACTTGCACCTGAACTTCAACCAAGCAGACATAGTGCAGAATTGTATATTAATTGCAAGAAACTGTAGGGAAATAGTGTACTAAGATCTCGTCTGTACATGGCACTGCAGATGAAAACCCCATTTTAGTGGGGTACCTGAAGTACTTCCTGGTGTTAAAGAGAGTCCATTTGGAGCAGTTCCCCTCCATCCTCCCAGCTATTCAGTAGTTCTGGGTATTGTAATTTGCAAAGAATTCTAGAATCAAAAGTAATCGAAGGACTAGACATGGAACCACTGAAGAAATCAGCAGCTTTTTTCAGTAACAACAATTGTCTTCCACTGAAGACAGCTTTTTTATTATTATTATTTTTAATGTGCCCTTTGCCTTCTTTCGATGTCTTTCTGAATGTTAAGTTCCACATTTTGACATCTTTTTCGTGTATGGACCTTTTCAGTTTTGCAAGAAGGGGAGGGATACCTACTGCAGCAAATGATAGAAAGTCTGTAAAAGGCCCCTCTGGTTTTCAGATGGAGAGTTTTGACCCCTGACATAGCTTTCCTTATATCATCAAATTTTCAGCAGTCCTTGCTGGTTTGGTGGAGAATTTGATGCTTGCCAACGTGAGGCAAAAGGAAGATATGCAAGAACACCTCCATACAGCGCAGCTTGCCATGTAAACTAAACCTTGATCTCCCAATGAAAACTTTATTGATCCCTGTAGGTTTACTTACTGTTAGTCTCCTCTATATCGTTTTTCTAGTATAAAATCATGTGGGGTGGTCAGGGAATTTCCTATAGCACTGCCAACTCTTTACCTCAGTGTAGTCTGTATAAATTCTGTAGCACAGGAAGTGGTGGGCAGGGTGTTTCAGTAGCAAATGTAGAACATCTGAATTAAATGCCTTTTTAATAGGTTTCTAGGGAGCGTCCGTTATCGGACAAGTGTTTCGACTGGCATGGTCTGCGCCAGACGGGCCGAACTAACATCGTCTCCACACATTTCTAGATGAGGACTGTCTAGCTTAGTGAGGAAATATATTGGCAAGACAATGCAAGACCCAGTGCTTTTTAATATTGCCTGTTTTGTAATAATTAGCTGGGGTGATTTCTGCTTTGTGCTGTGAAGTGGACACTTTTTTAACACTTTATTTTTTTGCATAGATGGAAATGAGCAAAGCCAGGATATCTGGAGCTGAAACTGCTGCTCTGCTAACCAGGTGATGCTGTCTCTTTGCTCATCTTGGTGGTTGAACAGTTTAGCTCGATTCTTTAAGCTTTTATCTTTCTAAAGGCATTTGGAAAGCAGTGTTCAAGTTTGTGTGTGCTGATAGGCTTGTCTTTGTATTGGGTGGGGAGGAGTATGGAGGTACCAGACTGCCGGTGCTGGTGGTTTTGTCCTTGGCTGGACCCCCTGTATCACAACCAAGCTCTTGGCACACGCCTGTAGGTCTCATCTTCTGTCTGCTGTGAATCCAACGACAGTCAGACAAGGCCGAGCAGCACTGATTTCCAAGATGGGCATTCTGGTAAAAAGCCACAGTATGTCGGAAGGGAGCAAGAGAGGGGAGCTATTTCCAAAACACCTCCCAAAAGCTGATGGTGCTTGAAGACTGTGTATTGAAATGGGACGCGCTGAGCCCAGCCGCCCTGACCGGCTCCAGGAGGGCTGGTGGCTGCATGTGTGTGTGTGAACAGCAGCGTGCAGGCCCTGCACACCCTGCCAGGGCCAATCTCTCTCCATCTGCTCCTAAGTGGGTGCTAAAACTCAATTCCTTCTGAGATAGGGTATGCAGATCTCTGACCAGACAATGTATCTTGCTCCATTCTAACAGCTACTTAACCTTTCTTCAAGATATCAGACTGTGAGAAGTATTTCAGGGGAATGGCAAGCCAAGAGGTGTTTTCGTTATTTAAATGAAAGTTACAATTTGAAGGAAAGCAAAATTTTGGGGAGGTGAGTGGGACCTGAGGAAGAGCTTCTTATGAGGGAAGTAACTGATTTTGCCTAGCACTGCTTCTCTGCTAATGCTTCCCGTGCATCTTTTGTGTTAACCTTGTGTGCAGGTGATCTGGCCCAAAAGCTGAGGGAAGAGAGCGGGGAGAGAGGGGATGTGGAAGACAAATGATCTTTTGGTAGTTCACAAGGCTTGGAAAGTGCGTGGTAGACTTGGGGTTGACAGCTTGTGTTCAGACATCCATTCCCCTTGGAGCCTCTACAGTCTGTGGGATAAAAAAGTGTTTTTTTTCCAGTGAACTCGCTACGTTATCTGGAGCGTGTACGGAGTTTGAAGTGACGATACACATTAAGCAGTATTTCCGGGGACTCCACTTAACAAAATGGCTAGTATTTATTGCTCTTGTGATGAGTTGTCTTGTTTATGGAATCAATATGTATGAAAGCAAATTGAGAAAACACTAAGTTATCTTGTGACACAATTATGTAGATAGGAAGCCAACTGAAATGTTATCCTTTATTCTGCAGTTTACTTGCTCTGTGGTGCCTATGCATTCTGACACACATACTATGCAATATCATTCATTTTTAAACCAGTTCACTACATTGGGCAGAAAAGGCCTGAGTTTAGCCTTAATTTTTCTAACGATTCACAGAAAAGTACTTTAAAAAAAGAACAAAAAAACAAAAAAAGTGACAAAAGGAGGTGAAAAATGCATAAAATAAAAGCACAGTTTTAGACTGCTCACATAAGTGTCTTTCTAGCACCAAAACAGCATCCACAATAGAAGCAGCTACTTGCTGTGATAGTTTCAATTTATGAAAACTGTGTACTAGATAAAATTATATTGTGATGTGTAAAAAGTGTATTTTATAGCTTTGGTGACTTAGTTTACTGTTTTGTATATATGAATTTTATAAATCTATTAAAACATGACTTGTTATACTGTTCTTTATGGGTTATATATTTCAACAGAGTCTAGAGAGTGACTTTTTTTTTTGCTTTGTTCCAGCATTTTCTGCAAATCTGCTTTTTGAATAATTTACAGCATGGACCGTGTGAAACTACAGCTGTCATGCAATAAAATCTTGCTCTGTAATCTCTATAATCGCCCACCTCTCCAGTTCTGGTCTGAATTGTTCTTCCCAGATGTGTCCAGGAATTGACAGTGGGTGAAACATCACCCTATCTAAAACTTAGGTTCATCTCCAGCGTTTCGCTAGAGTTTAGGCATTTGAAATGATGGGAAGAAGATGGGAAGATGCAGGCAGAGGATTTTGTGCTTTGTCCTGAAAGCCCAGCCAGGGAAGCTAGGAAGCCTGTTGAGCTTTAGACTGATTTATCTGCTGCTGGTAGGGTTTGGTAATAGGTATGAACGGCACTTGTTTCTTCCCTGATGCCCTGTCCCTCTGCCAGGCTTGCTGACGTGTGAGCCCATCTGCTGCTGTGGCCACCACTGACCTTGGAGAGTCCTCAGCAGCCTCCCCTTTCCCACCAGTGCCCAGGCATCAACCAGGTCTACCAGGATTTGAGCCCCGATTCTTAGGAATGCCCCTAACCTTTCCTCGCTTGTGCTAGGAAAGGTCAGCTCTGACAGATTTTTATTGCGAATCTTAGAGCCATTTCTTGTGTAAACTCCTAATGCGCAGTTACATTGGCAGGTGCACAATCCAAACCACTTTTTGGAGCGTTGCTTGTCCTTTTTACTGAACACTGGAAATGTTAAGTTCTCAGCTAGATTTTGCTTTTGGGCGTGATTATTTTTCCCAAGAGGTGCTGAAAACTTTCAGGTACCAATGCATGTTGTCACTGTTCAGCTTCTCTCAAAATATGGTCAGCTCAAATTTATTTTTACTCAGCTGTGATTGAATTACAGCAGCTCCAGGTGCTGCTACAAAGGTTTTTGGATGTTGGTTTGTTTTAATGGAGTTTCTCTGCTGTCCAAAGTGCTCAATCTCTAAAACCTTAACCAAAATAAGAAATGTGTTGTCTGTCTGTTTTGGACAAGCTGAGCTGGTAAGTGAGGCTCCTGTCAGTGGTGGCATTGAAAATAGCTGGTATTAGTAAGCAAGACCTCTTCTCCCAAAATGCCTGCTTCCCCAGCAGAGCTGTCTCAAGTCTGAGAGCTGGATGTCGTGTAAGGAATTTCCCTTTTTTCTGGGGCATCTCCCATAGGTCTTCTCCTCTCTAACCCTCTGGCAACGCCGTCACCCTGCAGTAAGGGCATCTGCTTGGAAAGCTGCTGAAGTTCAGCCTAGTGAGTTGCTACAGAATCAAGTTGGAGCAAGCAAGGTTAACCAAAAATGGTAAGTCCTTGCTTAAAATAGTACATCCAGGAAAGCAACAGAAGAGCAAGCAAGGGGCTGTATGTGTGTTTGTGATTCAAGTGGTCTCAGTTTGGGAATTGCTGCTCCTAAAACCTCCGGGATGAGCCGCAGAGCTGTGGCCTTGGAGGCAGCCAGGAGGCGGCAGCAGCGGCTCCGGCTGCAGCGCGGCCCGGCTCGCAGCCCGGAAAAAAGCGCGTTTCCAGGAATTGCCATCATCCGTCCCGAAGGCAGAGCTCCCTTTCTCTCCCTGTGTGAATCATGCTGACGCGAAGCTGGTTTTCCTTGGGGTGAATTTATTAACATGGATTGAATTTATTAACAGAGAATGCCTGTTTTGCTCACCTGTACAAGTTCATCTCAAGCTTTCCTTGAGTGTTTTCCCCTTAC